ATCGATACGAATTGTATTGGTAAATTCTAATTTTGTGTGCACACGTGCATGTGGCAGGGGAGAGTTGTTTACTAATTTAGTTAATGAGCATTATCTGCTTGAAAATCATGCTTTCCTCCATTACTGAAAGAAGTATCCAATCCATTTGTTTGAACTAAGAGTAATAGTTTTATTCCTTGAAAACAGACTGAGAGCTCAAGATCTGTAATGCAGGAAAAGCAGCAGTCTGGGAGGAAGATGAACAAGCTAACTGAATTAGTAGTTATATTTGCAATTCATCTCCTTATCAGAGAGACTGCTGAATAAGAGGGTAGAGAGTTGTAAAAGCTTTTCTTAGATATCTTCACAGACTCACATACAAAATCTAGATAGATTATACATCCTTTAGGAAAATACCATTCAGTAGTATCTGACATGATCAATAAGATGCCCCCATTTTCTGAGACTAGCTGATTAATAAAGGGAAAGAAGCTTCAAGTTCTGTCTTAGAGTTGGAATCCCTCAAGATATCTTTCCCTGGCTATGGGCCTCCCTGGTGGCCTAGAGGTTAAGTCTCAGCACTGTCACTTCTATGACCTGAGTTCTATCCCCTGCCATATGTGCCACATATGGCACAGCAGACTTCTCCTGTCTTGCCTACTGCTCCCCTTAGTAGTGTATTTCAGTGGATCCACTTGTTCTGCTCCCCACTTTGTCTCTGGTGAACCCTCTCACCCCCCACACCTCTGGACTATACTCCAGTTCTTCTACACTAAAAAATAAATAAGTATAAGAAAAAGAAAAAGAAATCTTTCCCTAGTTAGCTCCTTCCTAAGGCTGAGTTGAGGCCTGTCCTCTGTGTCCCTAGCACCTCACTGTGTTTCCTTTTCTAGTTTGTATATTTATACATGCCTTCCTCTAATCTAAATCCTTTATTGTCAATAATCCTTGCAATAATTTATGCTATAAGTGAGGAGAATAGTTTGTCGTGAAATAAACCGGCAAAGGTAGTATTCCATATATTAGAATAATTTGGCCTGCTTATCATGTAAGATCAGTAGGATATACCCTTGCTTGGTCTTATTAGGAGTGCAAGGGCGGGGGGAAATTTTAAATGAGGTGGCAAGGATCGGCCTCATTGAGAAGGTAAATTTTGAGGAGTGGAAGCACTGGACAGGTGCATATCAGGGGAAGAGCATTCCAGGCAGAAGGAACAGGCAATGCAAAGGTCCAGAGGCAGAAGAATCCATGCTGTATTGGAAATTGCAACAACAAAGTCTTTGTGGCTAGTATAAAGTACCAGTGTAGAGCTGATTGGGAGCAGGGAAGAGTAGACAATGAAGTTAGAGATAATTGTGTATAGGGCACTGCATTACATAGGGCTTTATTGGCCTTTGAAGGGGTACTTGTCTTTATTATTAATTAAAATGGAAAACCTTTTGATCAGAGGAGTGACATGATCTGAATTTTATTTTCAAAGAATCACGGTCTGCTGTGTTGGGAATAGACTGTAGTGAATCCCAAGGATCACCGGTGTATTTCAGAGGCTTGTGGTTACAAATTATCAATCCTATCATTCTTTTAAATGCTTTGTTTAAATATGGATATGGTTTTTGCCTTTGGTAATTGGCTTTATCAAATAGGGCTGAAGTAGTAGAGATACCACACTGTAGACATGGAAGAGATACTTTTCCCACACAGCTATCTGATTCTATTATGCTTAAAAGGGGAAAGTGGAGGGGGGGATTAGGGAAGGAGTCTTGACTGTTGGGTCGTGAAGTGCCTCATAAATAAGATCTAGAGAAGGATACTTGTCTAGAGTACCGAAAACACTTATTGCAGAGTTCTCCTTTTTTGCTAGTATAGTACCTTTCACCTACAAGAATCATTTTGAGGACCTCTGTGGTGGCCTAGGGTTTAAGTCTCAGAGTTATCACCTCTATGGGCTGAGTTCAATCCCTGGCCAGGGTGTTGACTCATGCATGGTGCAGCAGACCTCTCTTGTCTTCCCCGCTGCTCCCCTCAGCAGTGTGTTTCAGTAAATCCTTCTGCTCTGCTCTCTGCTCTCTGCTCTATCTCTGGTGAATCCTCTCACTGCCTGCACCCCAGTTCTTCTGCGAAAAAATAAAACAAATAAAATTTTAAAAATCATTTGAGAAACTTACGCTTTTTATAACCTGATTAAATTTAAAGGACACCATCTTCCAAAGAAAAGTGAAAAACGAAATTTCTATCAGGTCATAAAATCAGCCTTCAGCATAATAAAGTCCTATTTACTTGATTCCTCTTTAAAGATGGGAAAACAAGATAGTTTTCCTACTGTTCTCAAATCTTTATTAATTCATTTGAGGTGTTATACATTGACAGTAGTGGGCATATCTTTACTAAAATGTAATTAAATTTGCTTTCCAGAAACAAATACTATGGAAGTTAATGTGGCTGTCCATTAATGCTCTTTTGGAAATTGACTTTAAGCGTGCTAATCTACATTTTCCTCCCATTCTTTTGTTTATTGCTTTAAAATGTTGCTCTGTCTTCCTTAAGCATTCAGTAGCTTTATGAGATACATGCTTTTGTCTACTATTTATTTTGGAAACCGATAAATAATGAGATAGAATTTGACAATTAGTTGTCATGGATTGGTCTTTGGGCCTCCTGGAAACAACATACAATGATGTGGCAAGACACTTCTGCCACGAATACTTGTCACTTGATTTAATTGTAACCTAACAGCAATGCTTAGTAGTTATAGATTGATTAATCTTATATACTTATGTAATATTTTGACAGTCTCACTCTCTATGGAAATTATATTGATAAAATGGATATGTGGTCTCTGATGGGGAGAGAGCTTAATGGAAATTGCACTGTGATGGAATATTCTAACTAAAAGCAAGCTCTCTCAGACTGTGCAGTCAGAGGTGTTCTGACTAAGTAGGATTTTTAAGCCATTGGTAATGACTTAAACATGGTAATTATACTGGAAATTGCTATGGTTGCATTGATAATATTGCTTAACAGCCTTGTGAACTAGCACAAACATATTAGGATTTTTAGTTTTAAGACATGTTAAGATAGATTCTAGATATTATCCTAGAGAACAATGCTTCTTTTGTTTACCTTTTCCCCTTAAAATTATTTTTAACAGGTGAGAAAATAATTCTTTTACTTCTGATGTCGTGAAATGTAATCATTTGCAAAGCAATCATTTATAAGACAAATTAGATTCTCTTTTCTGCAACCTGCCTTGCAATTTGTCATAATAGATATTATATATATGGCAACAGGACTTCTTGGGGAAGTCCTAATTCCAAAATGTTAGCCAATTATTCACAGCACTTTCCTATTTGTCAGATTATGTATTAATTTGAGGTTTAAAAGAAACAGAGTGACTATGGTTAGGATGGAATATTTAACCAGCTTTATCATTAATGAAAGATTACCTTTGATAGTTAAGTATTGAGAATTGTTAAGGAGACCATCTGGAGATATTGCTTTCTTGGTTATTGTGACATTTTTATAAAATTTATTTCGAAAGATCATTCTCTTGACTTAAATTCTGTGTCCTAGGTACTGTATACTGTGATTAAGATCATGGTCTCTGAGCTTACTTTTGGATTTAACTCCTGACATTACTGCTCTTTTAAACTCAAATAATGTACTTACCTTTCTTCTGTCTCTGTTTCCTCACCAACAAGGTGAAAATACTAATGAAACTTACTTTTGGAGTTGTCAGGAAGAGTGCATAAGACATGGTTTGGCACAGAATAAGTGCTAATGCCTTTGGCCATGCCACATGTAACTTGATATGGTTCTTAAATCAGAACTCCCTTTATGAAAACATTCCAAGTTACTCTTTAAATTATATTCAGAATCTACTCTTTCCTCAAAGCAATACCAATGTGCAAGTTTTAAAAACATGAAATGCTAAAATCTCACCTAAGGTTACATCTAGGTTAAGTCCTATTGATCTTTGTGAAACTGGCAACTCACCATAGCAGTTGAACAGGGAAATTGGACACAAAAAAATTCAGTTTCTCTTTGAGGAAAGAAAGTAATAAATAGAGAGTGTGTGCGTGCATGTGTTTGTGTATTTATTCATATAATACAGTAATGGTAAATGTAAATATACTGACCTGGTTTCTTCTTGTCAAATTGTAAAAAAAAAGAAAAAAGTGAAATGAAATCAACATTCTTTATAACTCAGCTATGATATATAGTATTATTCAACCTCAGGAATGGGTAACTATTCTTAAACAGTACAATACTAACTTAAGTTTTAAAATTTCAGCCTCCTTGGTTCTGATCTAGTTTTTAGGTTCCCACAGCTGTGTAATACAGTAATACGAGTGGGTAAGGCATCGCGTCTAGAATATCTGTGGTGAACCTGTTGGACTTGAATATAATAGTTCCCTAATCTCACTATGTAAAGACAGGATTAATAAGCATCACCACACCTGTGAGGAGAAGTTCTGAATGTCTCATCTTGCTTACAGATAAAATGTGTTCCTCCCTTTAAAGTAGATGCAGGAATATTGTCAGTGAACAAATATCCTTTTACCGATGAATGATATCCATTTTCTGTAAGAGGAGAATAATAGTTTGAGTATGTAAGGATACTCCTATTTTAGAATGTACAACTTGAAGGGTTTATAATGAAGTGAAAATGTAATGGCAGATTTAAAAATACAAAATACTTTATTATGGTCATGCATTTAGTTATATTGTATATTTCTTATGCAATAATTTTTTTTAAGAAAACTGATACAAACATGTCATTATAGCTCCATCTTTTTTCTAGCCTGTCCCCAAACCTAGATAATGATACATTAAATAGGGACAAGTATAAAAATTTTTAGAAAAATAGATGGTAGGTAGTAAAGTTGGGATAGTGGTGTTGAACGTAATTAAGTTTTTAGCTATCGCTATGATACTTCCTGGGGAGCCTTTTAAGAGTCTTATGAAAATAAGAGTTTTCTTGGGGATTCTAGATTACTATGTAACTCTCCATTAATTTCTAGGTATCTGGTGACCCATCTCATGGGGGCAGATCTGAACAACATTGTGAAATGTCAGAAGCTTACGGATGACCATGTTCAGTTCCTTATCTACCAAATCCTCCGAGGTCTCAAGGTACAGATAGTATTAGTAATAATTTTGAGGGATTAATTCTCCTTCTCCCTCTCTCCCTTCCATTTGGGGTTCAAGAAATTTTTCTTATAGAAAATTCAAACATTCACAGAATCACAAATACAATCATAGTATAATTAATCCCTCTGTTTACCATAATTACCGACATATGGCCAGTCTTATTTCTTATGTGTTCCTTAAACCTTGGATTATTCTAAGGCAAGTCATCATATAATTCCACCCAAAGATACTTAAGTGTGCATATCTTAGTTAGGACTGTTCACTGTTAAATGTCAACAGTATTAATAGTTTCTTGATATAATCTGATGTCTGTGTCACGTTAAAAAATCCCCCAGGAGGTAAATTTACTTGTGGAAAGAGCCAATAGACAGACAGTATTTTAAAATTAAGTCTTTGATATTTAGCAGCTTTGGGTTCTTATTGAGCTACAAAGCGCCAAACCAGAGAGTAGATTGAAAGCTGTTTTATTCATACTCCAGCTCTATGAATAACAGTTAATGATATGGAAATCATGATAAATATACAGACTGCTGTTAATTACTTATAATTTCTAAACCTATTATTAATACTAATAGTTCTTATTGATCATGAAAATGGGTATCAAATATATCATATGACAGTGAGAGGTTGGAGATACATTTTCCTTTAACTAAATTTTTTTCCCCCCACAGTATATACATTCAGCTGATATAATTCACAGGGTATGTATTGTGATTTTTTTTTTTCTTAATTATTTGGGGGAACTGGGCTGGTAGTGGGTGAAGATTGACATTTAGCCAAGATCCTGATCTAAACTTGCTTTAGCCATTAAAATATTTATTTTAAACAAACTAGTAACTTTGGTGTTTTTTTTTTTTTTTAAGATTTATTTATTTATACAAGAACTGGGGTACAGTCAGAGGCTCGAGAGGGTGAGAGAATTCACCAGAGACAGAGTGGGGAGCAAAACAGTCAGATGACTGAAAACACTGCTGAGGGGAGCAGTGGGCAAGGCAGGAGAGGTTTGCTGCATCATGTGGGTTTCTCCCTGGCCAGCCGGGAGTCAAACCCGTGCTGCAGAGGCTGCAGACAGCTTCACAGTGTGGCGCCACGGGGGAAGCCCTAGCACAACTTTGCAATATTGATTTGCAACTTTGTTCTAAGGTTAAACTGATTAGAGAAACAAGATGTATAGTTTTTACCATTTCAAGGCTAACTAGGCCTAGATGCTGAATATAGAATGGAGATTGTTTATCGTTGGATGAATTATTTTATGTCTGGATCCTCATCATTACCTATAAGGAGAGAATTTACCATGGATCATAAAATTGATCCTGTCCTCTCTGTACTTATTTCCTAGGATCTAAAGCCTAGTAACCTAGCTGTGAATGAAGACTGTGAGCTGAAGGTAAGATGGAGAGACAGTGATGATTGTTTTTTACCATGTAGTTATATGTTTGACTAACCAGGACAACTGTGATTTTTTTTCTTTAAGTAATGAATAAGCCATAATTTTTTAATCTGAAAATTCATACTATCCTTAGGAATATTAGATTTTAAAATTTAAATCAGACTAAGTAAGCTATTTAAGTGACATTAAAGATACATCAGGTGTCTTCATTCTAAAATAAAATTCAATATATTTGTGATAACAAAGGCAGGTGTTATAGTTTAAATGTGAAGTAAGTAATCCTGGATAGAAAATTAATAGATTAGGTTCCTAAAAAATGGCAAACCCCATGTATTAAAAGTAATTCAGGTAAAGAATAACTCTGGATGTTTTTTCTTTGTTCACTTTCCTTTTTCACTCAACTTTGGGGAAAGAATTTGCACACAATAAAATGTATCATTTTTTGTCCATTTGACAAATTTATATATCCATTAACCACTAACACAATTATGATAACAAAAATTTTTATCACTTCAGAAAGTTCCCTTGTGCTCCTTCCCAACCATTCCCCAACCCTTTATCCCAATCCTGCCATCAGACAAACACTGATCTGCTTTTTGACACTATAGAGTAGATTTATCTTTTTGGCATTTCATATAAATGAAATCATACAATATTTTGTGTGTTTGTGTGACTAGATTTTACTTAATGCTATGTTTTTGAGATTCATCTGTATTGTTGTATTTATAAATTTTCATTCTTTTTTATAGTTGACTACAATTCATTCATTTTATAAATACACCACAATGTTGATGGGCATTTGCTTCATGTCCAGTTTGGGACTATCTAAAGTTGCTGTAAATATTCATGTGCAAACTTTGTGTGGATATGTGTTTTCATTGCTTATAAAAAATTACCTAGGAGTGGCATTTTGGTTTTGCTTTTGTAATTTTATTTTTTAAAGTTCTTACTGTGTTTATCATGCATTGTTAAGTATGGACCAGGAAATATGTTTATGAAAGTGCTATATTGTTCTCCTTTTTTATATAAGACACTGGAGTTCTTTCCTGCTTTACAAGTCTATAGAGTTTGTTCCAGTGCATGATTTCTGTCCTTTCCCTTAGATCTTGGATTTTGGACTGGCTCGACATACAGATGATGAAATGACAGGCTATGTGGCCACTAGGTGGTACAGGGCTCCTGAGATCATGCTGAACTGGATGCATTACAACCAGACAGGTATTGCTTGCATTGGTTATTTGGGTCTTTTGAATACCACATTGATCATGTTTGGGTTTCTCAGAAGCAGGGATGGTAGAAGTAGGAGGAAACATGTTTTCCTCCTTGAGTGATCCTTTTAAAGTCTATAAATAGAAAATACTTTGGTTGCTCAAATAGACTAAGCAGTTTTTATACACAGCTTTCAACCTTTGTGATCGAGCAGTTGGGTTTTTGTATATTTAAATTTTTAACATATCATCTGAGTACTTCTTCCTGAAGACAATGGATTCAAAATTTTAACTTCTCGATATTAATTGGAAAAATCCACAATTGCTACCGATAAATATTTGCCCATTTGTGAATAGCTTATTTCTCTTGCCCCATCACCAATAAGCCCTTGAGTGGGGTGAAAATCTTAATAAATTTGTTTCTATAAAAATGAGTATGATTATTGAACCTCAGATGTCTTAAATGTGAATTTGAGTGTTTCACCCCCAGTTGTAGTTCCGTCTATGGGCAAGTGTAATAATGTTGACATCATATGCACTTTTATTTCTCTTTAATTTTTCCAGTTGATATTTGGTCAGTGGGATGCATTATGGCTGAGCTGTTGACTGGAAGAACATTGTTTCCTGGTACAGACCGTATCCTTTAAAAAGTTTTGTATTCTTTCTTCTCAATAGATTCCAGTTTCCATGGAAGTGTGTCACTTTTACCTATGTCAAGGGCAGGCTTCGTTACCTGCTTCTATAGTCTAGGTGTGTTATGAACTCTCCCCTCCTGCTTAGTTAGCCCTGCCAAGAGAGAGACTTCACTTTACTTCTCTGAGTTGGAAAAATTCATCCTAAGCTGGAAAACATCTAAAATTTTCCATATGTCATCTTTTTTGCAAGAAGTTCCTTATATTAATCTTCCCAAGCAGTTCTAGACTGAAGCAAATTCATGACAAGTTCTAGATCTCAGTGACTGGTTTAGTCCTTGTATACACTCAATGAATGAGCACAAGATACCCATTTTAAATCAGAGCTATCTTGCTTTTATTTTTGGTTTACATATTTAAAAGTGTATTTGGTGCTCTTGTAATGATATACCTGCTGACTCCTGTTACATTGTTTAACAATATATAATAAAAGCAAGAAGTGATAAGGTCACCTTGCCTGTGTCTTTTTATTTTTTAGGACAACTTAATTTTTACCCCAATTGTAGCCAAACCTTAATTTACTGCTAGACTTTTTGTCTAGTGTGTAGTTTATCACAGTGCCTTATTTTCGCCCCTTGCCTACCTACTGCATGCTCATTTCATTGCTAGTAATATCTTCAAAATGTGGTTTGTTGGAATTCCCTCTGAAGCGTTATTTACTCCTCTCCTTCCTCTTCTTTACATCTGTGTCCACATCTGTCTTCATCAATCATAGATACACCTACATAGCCCCACAAATTGAGGGATAGATAATAGAGCATACTGGTGAAGAGCACATGCTCTGGAATCAGACTTCCTGGGTTTATTCCCAACTATGAGACTTATTACAGATTTTCTAATCTCTGTCTCTTGATTTCCTTAACCATGAAATGCTGGTAATATTACATAGCTCACAAAATGTGAGAATTAGCAAGGTAATGTTCAGAACACAGCCTGCCAAAAATGTTAGCCTTTTTCTCCTTTCCTTCCCACTTTATTATCTACCTATGAATTACTACAGGTAAATTTTTTATTTAATTTAAATTTTGTGACAGATAGGAAAGGATGGACCCCCCATGGCAGGCTACTGGTAGGGGCTTTCAAAGCAGTTGTGCCCAGTGGTCCTGGCCAAGCTGCCTACTTCCTGCTGGTTTGACGCTTTTAGATGGCTTTAAGATCTCTAAGAAGTTTTCCCTTTGTGCATATACTTCTTCTCTTCTATTAACTTTAGATAGAAAATCTACCATTGAAACTGTTTGCTAGGGGATTCTTTTTTTAGTACATGAGAATTCATTTCAAAATTCTTACTTTAGTAATAACACTGTTTCTTTTCTACCTGAATCTTTTTCAGACAGATGGTCTCTTGAATTGTAAAAATCAAGTTCACAGGATTTGTATTTGTAATAATATATAACCTTCCTCTTGTCACTTCCCATCAGAGCATAGGCTTTGGTATATTTGTTAAGTCCCCACTGGATTTTATTGTGCAGGTGATGTTGAATACAAGTAGAATTTAACACAATTTCAGTTTTAATTTTGACTGATCCTGAGAAAAGTTACTTCATTAGCAGCTCCTGTTTTCAAAATCTTTAGAGAATGGGCTGGCTTCTGATACTCTTCTTTTGTGCAGAGGGGCATGCAGCTACTGCTTATTTATAAATTTTTAAATGCAACTGAATGCTGAGGCAACGTCAAGAGCATGCTTTTTATTTGAGTACACAGTTTTCTCCCTCTTTTCCCTATTTAGTATCTTGCATTTGGAACTGTGGCTTTTAGCTTTCCGGATAGGAACTTTATAGGACTTACTGTGGTGTTGCAAATGTTTTCTGTCTGTGCTGTCCAATATGTTGACAGGAGCTATTGAACACTTAAAAATGTGGCTAGTGAAATTTAGTAATTGAATTAAAAATATTTTTATGAAAAATGTATATAACAAAATTGACCATTTAAACTTTTTTTTATTGCAGTAAGATGCTCATAACATAAAATTTACTATTTAAACCATTTTAAAGTATACGGTTCAGTGGCAACATTCACAATGTTGTGCAACCATCACTGCTATATTTCCAAAACATTTTCATCTTTTCAGTAGGAATTGTATAGTCATTAGACAATAACTCCCCATTCTTTCCCCCCACAGCCCCTGATGACCACTCTTCTACTTTCTGTCTCTATGAATTTTGCTTATTCTAAATTTTCACATAAGTGAAATCGTACATATTTGTCTTTTTGTTTCTATATTATTTCACTTAGCATAGTTTCAAAGTTCATTCATGTTGTAGCTTGTATAAGAATTTCATTTTTATTACTATTCCATTATAGGTGTATCCATTTTATTTATCCATTTATCTGTTCATATACCACTTGGGTTGTTTTCACCTTTTGCCTATTGTAAATAGTGTTGCAATGAACATTGGTATCAAGTATCTGAGTTCCTGCTTTAATTCTTTTGGCTATATATCCAGGAGTGGACTCATTGGGTCATATGGCAATTCTATGTTTAGCTTTTTGAGGAACCATCATATTGTTTTCCACAGCAGCTGCACCACTTGATATGCCCACAGTGATGTATGAGCAAGTTCTCCACCTCTTCACCAACACTTACTCTTTTCTTTCTTCCTTTTATTGCTATCCTAGTAGGTTGAAGTGGTATCTCTCTTGACTTGCATTTTCTAATGACTGATCATGGTGAGCCTCTACCTCTTCCTGTTTACTTGTCATTTGTATATCTTCTTTGGAGAAATATCTGTTCAAGTCCCTTTGTCCATTTACCTTTTTGGTAATGTCCTTTGATGCACAAAACTTTTCATTTTGATGACATTAGAGTTTATCTGCTTTCTTTTCTGTTGCTCATGTTTTGGTGTCATATCTAAGAATGTATTACCAAATTCAAGGTCATGAAGACTTACTATGTTTTCTAGTAAAAAATTTAAGGATTTTCTCATATACTTAGGTCTTTGATAATTTTGAATTAATTTTTGTATATGGTATGAGGTTAGGGGTCCAAATCTTTTCTTTTGCCCCAGCAATATTTCTTGAAAAGACTATCCTTTCCCCATTCAGTGGACTTTGCACTCCTGTCAAAAATCAAGTCTGTTCCAGTGGTCTATATAACCATCCTTATAGGAGCACCTCACCGTTTTCATTACTATGGCTTTATAGTAAGTTAAAATCAGGAAGTGTGAGTTCTCTGACTTGGTTCTCATTTTCAAGGTTTTTTTTTTTTTTTTGTCTTTTCGGGCTCTCTTGTTATTGAATTTGGTTATTGGAATTTTGATAGAGATTATATTGAATTTTTAGATCACTTTGGGTAATATTGTCATCTTAACAATATTAAATCTTCCTATCCATAAATGTGAAATATCTTTCCATATTTTTAGATCTTTGATTTCTTCCAGCCTTGTTTTATAATTTTAAGTAAACAAGTCTTTTATTTCCTTTGTTAAATTTATTCCTAGGTCTTTTATTCTGAGGATGCTACTATAAATAGAAATGCTCTCTTAATTTCTTTTTCAGTTTGTTTATTGTTGGTGTGTAGAAGCACAGCTGATTTTTGTTTGTTGATCTTGCACGCTGCAACTTTGCTCATTTATTTAACTTTAGTGGCTTTCTTGTGAATTCTTTGATACATATTTTTTATATGTAAGGTCACTTTATCTGAAAATATAGTTTTACTTCTTCATTTCAATTTAGTTGCTTTATCTTTTTCTCTTGACTGAGTGTTCTAACTAGAACTTCCAGTTCAGTTTTCAATAGCAGTGGTAAAAGTGAACATCCTTTTCTTGCTCTTAGATAGAAAACTTTCAGTCTTTTACCATTGAGTATGGTTTTAGCTATGTATTTTTCATAAATGTTCTTTACCATGTCAAGGAAGTTCCCATATAGCCATAATTTTATGAGTGTTTTAATCTCATTTTAAATGTTATTTAATTTTAATTAGATTACATTTAAATTTAATCACATGTAATACCTGGTATTATATTGGATGGTGCAGTTTTAGATCTCTTTAGGTCTTCCTAATCTACCTTTTTTCCCCTTATTTTTGGTGATTAGTCTCATTCTTGAGAGATTCTTTTGGTACTGATTGTTAATAATCCTTGGAATACTCCTGAAGATATGAGAAATATTATTATTCTCCTCTGTGATTTTGCAGAACCTATCCAGCTAGCTCAAAAATTGTATTGTTATTTTTGAAGAATGAAGATCTTCCTTTTAAGTCTAGTTGACTAGGGATAGCAAGTGGATACAGCTGAAAAAACTTTATATTAGAATAGAATGAAGTTACAGACTATCTCTTCAGGTATAGTGCTAACTTATTTTATATACCATTGGTTTTGAAAAGAGTGAACCAGTTAAAAATGTTATTACCTTGCAGCCCAAGGAAAAGAGAAAATGCATTTTCTATCCTTGCTACACGTTAAAAACTATTTTCTCTTCCTGAAATCACAGCTTTGGCTTATTGTTTTCCTTTATCAGGTAATCAGTGAATTTCATTCATGTGTAAAATTTTTTTCCTTCTTTCATTTTACGACATCAACTAGAGAATTACAGGACTGTTAGGTCATAGCATCAGCTACTGATCACTCCACATGAATTTTTGCTTCTTAATTTTACTTCATTGATTTCTTTCAAACATTTTGTGGCCTATAAGACATATAAGAAAGACAAGGAATAATAAATGATTCCCCTTGTTTATGCAACCCAGATTATGAGAGAGAACATTGCTAATAGAGCTAAAAGTTCTGGTGTACCCCTTTCTGTCACATCTGCTCCTCACTTTCAGTCCTTGGTTTCGAATATTCTCATTTTTAAAAACCAGTTACACTTTAGACACTAAAAGCAAGTGTTCTAATAAATTTTGAAAGAGAAAAAATATTTTAATAGCTTCCTATTTGTCTTTTCTCCTCTAACTTGAAGAGAATGTTTTCCCAAAAAAGGTTAGGCTTCACAAACTTGTCCACAAACCTAGAGACCTTAAGAAATTTTCTTTGTGGGTCCTCCCTGGTGGCACAAGGGGTTGAGCACCACACTATGAAGCTATTCGCTGCCTCTGCTGGCCAGGGAGCTACCCACATGACAAGGTAGACTACTCCTGTCTCGCCCGCTATTCCCTCAGCAGTGTATTTCAGTCAATTTGCCTGTTCTGTTTCCCTCTCTGTCTGTGGTGGATCCTCTCACTCCTCTCCCCCACACACATCTCTGGCCTGTGCCCCAGCTCTTGTATGCACAAATAAACAAATCTTAAAAAAAAAAAAGAAAGAAAGAAATTTCCTTTGTGTGACACTGAAAATGACTTGTGATGACCAAAAAAGGAGGAAATAGGCTAATTCTCATTCTAGTTCTGTGTCACAGGTGCATTTCCTATCCTCCAGAGAAATGCTCAGTTTTGCCCCAATGAATTTTTTTCATTGGCAGCTGCTGCTTGCAAGCAATAAGTGGTCACAAGTAGGTTCAGCAACTGGTCCTTTCATTCCTTTTCAGCTATGGCCTGCAGAGTTGCCTAGAACACTTAGAAGTGACTAGCATATTCCTCCTTTACTTCCCCTTTAAAAATCCTATTCTCTTCCCCCCCCCCCCGCCCCCCACCTATTTGTTCTGAGTACCTTTTGCTTTTGTTACAAAGAGTCTAGTCCTAAAGGGAATATTAAACCTAAGTGGTCGTTTTAGAAAGGATAGAAGATTTATGATTTAAGTTTGACATTGTGATCATTATAATTAAAACATTTTTAACTATCAGTAAAAATATCTTCTATCTTTGGGAAAAAAGGGCTAAAAACCTATTGTGAAGAATAACTTGCTGTGGAAATAACCATTGTCATAATGTGGTAACTTTTGCTTTGCCCTGCTTCTTTCGCTACTTGAAACTCCTTCTTAACTATCTGGACAAATTGTAGTGGCCTAAGTATCTGGTGCTATTGGAAGACTGATGTATGTTTCAATGGACTTACCAGCTCTTAAAGAACCTATGGTGATTTCTTCTGTGGTTTGCATGCTTTGACTTCCTTCATGCAAGGGCTCTTAGCGACTAAGTAGATTTTCATTTGGATTGCTTGTTTACTAATTGCCTAAGTATTGACTGTCATGCTGTAACAACTCTCTTTGTCCATAGTTCTTAGTCCCTCATGGTGCTGTATTTATATGCTGTGTGGTACAAATACTTCGGGTGGAATGTTTGAGAATTTTGTTACCACTGAAGAAACAACTTTTCCTGGCTACTTTTTATTTGTAGACTTTCTGTAGAGTATGGTCATTCTAGGTTTTGAGGGCGTGGCAGAGGGTTAAAGCTAAATTGAAAGGCATATTATAGGAAGTCTTTATTTATCAAGCTACTCTGTGGTAGGTATGAGGATAAGATGGCAACTGTCCCCAAAGCTAGAGTAAGCCTACTTATGGAAAGTAAGTTATAGGAGTTACTTGAGCAAACGTCCACCCTGTGGTTATAAAACAAGACAGTGATAAAAATATCGTAATGAAAGTATAAGTATAAATAGGTTATTAAGAAGAAGCAGAGATTAATTCAAACTCAAGATACCCTGGAAGTCTTCAAGGTAGCATTCTTAATTGAGCAGGACCTCGAAGAATAAATAAAAAAGGGAAAAGGCTTGGTAGGAGGTGAGATTGGAAGGTGTTCCAGTTTATGACTTGTAAAAGAAGAAGCGGGAAACTCTGAAGTGCCTGTTTGAAGCTAAGATGTTTGGTGTTAGCTGAACATTGAGTGCATTAAGGCATAGGAGTTTGGAGCAGTCAGAAAAGAAACTTGGTAACAAAAATCATGGAGAGCCATGAATAAGAGTGTGAGGCTGAGAAATTGAGGCACTGTTCTTCAGTCCTGTGAGTGTTTTATATTGCATAAGGGGGAGAAAGATAACAGGTCCCCCAACTCACTGCAGTAGTGAATCACTACGCCTAGTGGGAGTGGCAGACTCTTCAAGTCTGTTAAAGTGAAGATGGGGCAGTTGAGAAACTCACAGCCCAGAGTCTTCTGTCTTCCTCAGTCTTCTGTCTTCCTATATATTCCCTCTCAGAGAGAATATATAGCTTGACTCCCATTTTCCTTGGTAAGACATCTCTTAAGCATGAATACTACCATCTCAATACAGTTTTTCTGGAGATTGGTTTTGATGCATATATTATAAAACCACCTGTTTGAGGGCTGAAATCTAGTTTTTTCTCATGTGATACACTTTATCTTGTAGGATAACTACCCAGTTAAATTTGTTCCTGAAGATTGTAAGGATTTTTATAAACTGAATCATTTGAAATGAGCAAAGAGAATCTTGTACTAAATTTCTTTTGTAACATAATTTGATTATTTTGAACAATATTCATCCTCCTTCTGTTCCCGTTATTGTATACTTTAAAAATATTTTCTTGTCAACACCTTGAACTGAGAAACCAGTATTGAAATTTTAACCTCCAGAACACATTCATTTTTTTCCATTTGTAGATGACAAAATTCTCTGCTATTCTTTATTCAGAAATAACTTGGGTGAGTGAACTGGTTTCAGTTTATCCTTGTTTTCTACAGAATATTAGTTGTTTGGATTTAGGATGGGGTTTAGCAAACCTTTCCTTACAGGCCTACATAGTAAATACTTTAGGCTTTGGGAGCTATATGGTTTCTATTGTAACTACTAATCTCTGCCTTATAGAGAATAAAAACAGCCATACATAATTTATAAACAAATGGGCATGACTGTATTCCAATAGAACAGTTTTCTAAACAGGCAACAGATCAGGATTTGCTGACTCCTTTTCTTCCACTTAAGCCAGTTTCATATGAGGGTGTGGGGAGAACAGGGCAAGAAGCCAGTAGAATTTTGCATAAGTAATTCCTATAACTTAGACAACTAGGCATGCAGAGGTTATCAGTTTTATGTTACATTGTATTTTCTTTACATGTGTAATCACAAGCAGAAATCTTTTCTTCCATTCACCTCTTTACCCTGCTTTATCTCCTCAAATATTTTGAGTGCCACCATATACTAGATAATAGGCTAAGCTCTGGGGTAGGTGGTGAACAGGTTGAGGGGACCTTTCCTCATAGAACTCCAAGAACGGTAACCAGATTGCAATAAGCACTGTGATGTTTTCAAGCATTGTGCTGAGATAGAAAATAATGGGGGAAGGGGAACTTCTTTATGTGAATATTAGGGGAAGTCTTTCTGGGGAGGTGAAGTTTAAGCTGAGACCTAAAGTTGTGAAGGAGGTAAGCATGTAAACTCTTTTACAAGATTTTTTTCTCTTAGCTTTCTTTTTTCCAGACAAAGCTAACAACAGTAAGAACAAATGGAAAGATTTTGTCTTCTGGTTAGTACATGCATATACATTCTTGAGTATGCAAGGAAGAGTTGGCTACCAGAATAAAGGTTTGGACATTATAGCCTATTATTTAGCGCCTTGGGACATTGTGAGGCTTGTTACTGCATTTATAAGGTTGAAACCTCCTATGTGCTGCTTTGTCATGACATTCTCAAGAGCCTGCAGATGCAGTGGGGGAGTGGGGCCCTCTGCTGGCCAACTGTCAGTCACGGTCCTGCTCTGCCTACTCCAGTGATCACAGAGAGGAGAGATTTTCTAGAGGGCATGTGCTTAGGCTGGGGGATATTCTTAAGCCCCTGTGGTGTCACAAGTTCCTTAGGTAAAGCCTTAGTGGGGATATTGACAGGCAGGTTTGAGTACCCCCACCTCCTATTCTCTGCTGCTTTTTTCTTATCTGTAGCGCTCTGCTCACCAGTGCTCTGCTTGACTGGCTCCTGATGCGTTGATGGAAGGTGAGGAGGGAGGGAGGTGTGGACTGACCCTATGGACTGAGTGGAGCTTTTGTGTTTTCATGTGCTGTCTTTGGCAGCTCAGCACCCAGTTAAATTCATTTCACTTTCCTGATAGGTGATATTGACAGATGTATGAAATGAATGTAAATTAGATGTGTGCGTGGTAGTATTTTGAATCTTTGTACAGGAGGAGCCTGTTCTACTTGAAGTGACCATCCTGCAGAAAGAAGCCTTGACCTAGATGAATTCACCATTTTGGCTTGTTTTGGGTTTCTTTATTTTTGTTATTGGAATATTTTGTTTGTTTTTGTTTTGTTTGTTATTTGTTTTTCATTTTTATTTTGTCCCAACATTTTCCTTTATAGTCCACCATTAGATATTGATCAGTTGAAGCTCATTTTAAGACTCGTTGGAACCCCAGGGGCTGAGCTTTTGAAGAAAATCTCCTCAGAGTCTGTGAGTTGATGCTTTGATTGTCATTATCTGCCCTTTTGAGAGCCTCTGCCACTTTCCTTCCATCAATCTGTTCTTTAACCTGGGTATGTTTGTAACACATGTGCCCTTTGTGTGCTGAGTTCCAGGATGAGCTCTCAGTGTGCGTGTGCATGCATGTGTGCGTGTGCGCACACCCACCCACTCACATGCTTGAGTGTGTTTGTTCTTTCTCGCTCTGGATATGTCTTTGGATCCTGGGAGCTTATGTTGGGCAGTAGTGTCTTGGTAAATGAAGTTTGAGATTCTAATTCATCCCAAGAGATTAATGGAAAATGTATGTCTCCCTTTTGACCCCTGACTTCATCTTTCTCAGAAGCTTTGCATACACTCAAGCTGTTTTCACTTTTTGGTTAGTGCTTGTCCTGAGAATGAGCTTCACTATATATCAGTCTAGCTTTATCACTAAAAGAACGAAATGGGCATTGTCTGCACCCTATTGCACGTTTCCAGAAGTTACTTGCTTTTTCTTGTTTTAGAATAGATGGCTCACCTGTGCTGTATAAGGTGTCTATTTCAAACAGGGGGACCTCTTTACCCAGCCTCCAGACCATCAGAGGAGCCATCTCTACTCCTGCAACCTCACATCCACTGCAATGAGATTGTAAATCCTTCCTCCCACAGCTTGCCACTGTAATTACAAGTTCAATAACCTGAGAAAGAGGTTTGGAGGTAATGCTTTCCTGCCTCTACGCAGGAAATTAGAGAGAAGCCCTGGGGACGCAGTTCTGGCTTACTTTGGCTGTGATTTCCTCCTGTTGGTCATCTTCTTGGACCAGAAATGTGAAAGAAAGCAAGCAAGAACTACAGTGTTACAAGTAGTTCTCAGATTAGGTTAATTGTTGGTGGGAGAGCTAGGTTTGTTAGGCTTGTCCCCTTTCCTCCCTGTCTCTATTGCCGGGCAATGGGGAAAAAGAGGAACGGAGCTCTAGAGTCAGACTCCAGTTGCACCTGGATTGCCCAGCATTTCTGACTGAAGGGGGGAGGGGGCCCTTTGCCCAGTTGGGAAGATTGCAGGGTAGCTTGAGCAGGTGAGTTTAAACTGTTTATCATCTCTCTGACAAAATAAAGAATGTTGCCATCTGGTATGTATCTGCTTCATTCCTTAAAAGGACCCCCAAACCCAGTGTATTTATGAATTTACTTTTCTGAGGGATGTAAGAGAGGGCACTGGCTCTATTTTATTTTGTTTCATTTACTGAAGATGAAGAAGCTAAAGAATAGAAAGATTGTGAATGTCTGAGTCATCCACTGAGTCATTTGGCAAAGCTCAGCACAGACCCCAGATGTTCTGATAACGTGATCTAAGCTTTAATGCAATTGTACACTGTTTTGAAAGCATTGTCAGAGTTACTGACCACAATGTCAACCTAAAAGGGATTTTTTTTTTTTTTTATGAAGTATAGAGGCTAGATTTTAGAGTAAATCAAAAAAGATAGGAGATAGTGCTAGGAGATAACAGTCCTTTTTTGTTTTAAATGCATGTTTAGAAAAATTGGCTAACAGAATGGACATGACAGCAGGATGGTGGGGATGGGAAGAACCCAGTTCATTAATGAATTATGCTAATGAGATTGAGATAGCAAATTTAGTCCTTTAGTCTGGAATTGACTACTAGGTTCTAGGTCTCCTCTCCTACCCCCAACCATTTTCCCTAAAGATATGTGCTATTAGTCCAATAATTTCTAAATGAAAAAGTATAGGTAAAATGGTATTTATCTTTACTTTTTTTTTTTTTTTAAGATTTATTTATTTGTGCATACAAGAACTGGGATACAGGCCAGAGGTGCAGGGGGTGAGAGGATTCACCAAAGAGAATGGGGAGCAGAACAGGCAAATCTACTGAAATAAACTGCTGAGGGGAGCAGCAGGCGAGACATGAGAGGTCTGCTGTGCCATGTGGGTTAGCTCCCCGGGCCGGCTGGGGATTGAACTCATGCTGCAGTGGCTGGTGATAGCTTAATAGTATTGTCTTTAACCCCTGTGCTACCAGGGAGGACCCCTATCCTTTACTTTTAAATGAAAGCCAAAGGCCCTACCTACTAATGAGATGTCTTTATCATAAGTGAAATGGGGCACATCTTGCGTTTCAGCAGTTCAAGCATAGAATTAGGCATAATAAAATTAAGTACCAGAATATAGAACGTAAATAATACTATACTAAATATAGGAGTAGGAAATGTTTTTTCCTCCCTGCATAGTTATGGTGAATGGATAAAAGCAGTTAAGACATTCAGAAAGGTAGACAAAATTCATTTGATAGTAGTGACACTGCCCAAGTGTCTGTTTATGTTAAAAGCACATGGTGGGTGGAATATGATGTGTAAATAAAAAAGCCAGCTAAGTAAAATTGTTTAAAGATTTTAAAAATTAAAAGAACAATCCATTAGTGAGGGAATAAGTAAATAGAAAGCCAATAGATGTATCCATTGTTGCTGGAAAATAGTGATGAAGTAGAGATACCATCATTTATGTAGCAATTCCATCAGTAAGTAGTAGGACATTCTGAATAAGAAAATACAATAGTGGGTGGACTGATTGAGAACAAATTAGGATGTGCCATGAGAGAGGCGATAAATGGATGATGGTGGATGGCTAAGAATAGAGAATTTGGGGGCTTGGAGACCTAGTACCTACAGTAATCAGTGAAAGAACCAAAAAAAAAGTCATAGTAAGAAAGCAAAAACCCTTCCACTGTCTCACTCGTGCGTTTTTTTCTCTGAAAATGTATTCTTCCTAATCTCCTGACAAAAAGGAGCTGTAATAACCTGTTTGATTAAAGGAGACAAAAGTGGAAAATGTACAGGCCAAGAAATGTTCACAAGAAGGAAGAGAAAGGTGGCAGGGTTTAACATTTTGAAATTTAATTGGTATTCTATAGACAGGTTTATGTGGGGTAGGGGGTCCCTATTGTTTCTCTAGGCATACTGTTTGTGTAATTTGTTTAAAGATAAATCTAAACATTGTTGTGAGAATATATAAAGAACTTCATACCACCTTCTGAATATCCTGGCCTCTATCTTTGGGCTTTGGGAACATGGAAGGCAGGTTAGAGCACATGGCCCCTCGGCCCTCCTTAACTGCCAGCCTGCATTTGCAGGGATCTGACCCCTGGAGAATCTGCAGTCAGAGGATGAGCTAAAGTGAGAAAATTACTGAGGGAAGCCAAAAAAGTAGTGAAATCACTTGACCAGGATGCTCATTCAAGATGATGCTACAACTGAAAGGGGAATTAATAGGTAGCAAGACAGAGAATAGTATAAGGTGTTAACTGAATTTTGGGGAGGATTTTAAAAATCTCATCACTTATGCTTTAATAAGAACATATGATAAAATAACAGTTCTCAGATTTTGGAGGAGGGAGAACTCTGTTAAAATCAATGAGACAGCTACAGGAGAGATGTCCTTGTACATAAGGAAAAACTTGCAGTGCTGCCTTGTGAGATAATTACAGTGTTTCCACAAACTCCCTCCCAGCTGTTTGTCAAGTGAAGTTAGTCTGTTCACCTGTTAAAGAGACTTGTGGGAGAAATTATTGTGGCATGCAGTGATGCTGTCAGCAGCCTGTGGCTTCTGTTTTGTCTTTGCCAGTAGCTTCTAACTTTCTTTCTTCACTTAGCCATTGGGTGTGTGTGTGTGTGTGTGTGTGTGTGTGTGTGTGTGTGTGTGTGTGTGTGTGTGTGTGTGTGTGTGTGTGTGCGCATGTGTGTGTGTGTGTGTGTGTGTGGCATGTTTTAAAAATGTACCGCTGCTAATGTCTTTGAAACTTGGCATTGCTTATCAACCCACATGCCCACCTATGTCTTATATTTGGAGGGGTGGTCTTTAGAGAATCACCAGAACATGTGCCACAGATACTTAAGCCTTCCTTGAATGAAGTATGACATATGGGTTATTTTGTTTTATCCGAAGCTGAGTCAAAATTTTCTGAATCATCTCCTTTTAACCCACCAGCAAACGGGTTTTGGCCATCAGTTCTTGAAAATAGTTCTCTGGCTGGCATCCTGGATCGAGGGGCAGTCTCTTTCCAGGGAGCCTAAAATATTTAACATTAAAACAAACAAACAAAAAAACTCGTTTTTCTTGTCTGCATGTCCAGTTACTGGCTACATGCCTAGTAACTCACGCCATTCTCAGAAGTGTGCTTTAACATGCAACAGGCTCTGGCCTGGGGTGGGTGGAATGGGTGGGAAACAGACTTTTTGTTTGTTTGGGGGTAGCTTTTTAGCCTTCTTTTTAACTTGAATTGAAAGGTTTTTTTTCACACTGTATGTTTAACAATGCCCTTGACTAGGCATCTAAGATATTAACCAGCTTCAGCAGATTATGCGTCTGACGGGGACACCCCCTGCTTATCTCATTAATAGGATGCCAAGCCATGAGGTGAGAACAAATAGCCCGTCCAGGGACATCTAATTCAGAAGGCCACATTCTTGTGTTATTGCCTCTGTATATAACCAACACGGTGTTTTAATGTCACAGAGTGCCTGCATGTGCCGTGAGCGCTGCTGGGGCCGTGACTGGCTACATGCTGTGACAGGGCGTGCACCATCCCGTCCTGTGGATTCAGACTGCACCTTTCAGGCTTGCACATAGAAATTGATGTTACTTTTGTATGTGCATTTTCTGAATTTAGTGTTCACGTAGCTGTCTTTGTTTTCCTAGATTCTTTTCTATGCTTTAGGGTATGCCGTCATTGATGACTTTTGACTGGAAGGGGGAGCATATTTTCCTATTCGCCCATTTTTTAATGACCAAATGACAGAATTCTTCATGGAAAAAAACTATAAAATATCCAACATTAATAAGTATTATATTTAAAAGAAAATACACAAATAATGTAGAATAAATATGAAGCCTTTGATAGTTAGGTGCCTTCTTTGCAAATTCTTAGCTATTTTCATCTAATTCTAGTTTTATCATCAGAGATGATTGGTAATTCTTTCTAAGGTGTCCTTAATCTTTTTGGTTGTACCACAAAGGCCCTTTCCAGCAGCTTGGTTTCCACTTCAGCTGTTCAGGTAGTCTTTTTATTTTCCTTTATTTATCTTATTAGAGAGATGACTGTTCTCCATATGAGACAGTTCTCTCTTACCTCTGTTTTCCCTTCATCCTTTTATGCACATGGTTAAATAGAAAGGGATTACAGTTCTGTGTATATTCAATTCCTGGAACTTTCCTTTCAAATTGGAAAGATTCACAACTGCTTGTCAAAGTGGATCTCTTCTGCTTGCCCCACATAAAATGACTAAGAAGATGAAGGTTACCCTAGCAACCAGAACTTTTTCTAATCTCGCGCGTGTGTGTGAACATAAATATACATACATACATATGTACATACATACATACATACATTTACTGTTAAGTTGTATTTAAACGGGAATTTTTAAGGAAGTAGTTAAATTGCATTCCGAAAAGTTTTACCTCAGCTACTCAGATCAAGTGGTAATGGAATTGGTTCTTTGAGACATAGTCTACTACCTGGTATCTGAAGCACATAATTCCAAATTCTGTACTCACATGGTTATTCTCAAGACCAGTTTTTGGTTGTGCCTTGATTAGAGCTATCAGACCTTGAAAGTGTCTGAAATTCCATAGAATGATATTTAGAAATTGTGATGATGAAACATCTCTAGGAAATGAGAACATTTCCTTTCTAAAGTCACACGTGAATGGCAGCCATTTATTGAGCTCTCACTCTGAGCTGAGTGCTGTGCTATGGAACGGCTTATTAGCTCTAATCCTCACTCCAACCCTGTGGAGTTGGCATTGTCATGAATCCCTATAGACAAAGATTCCAAGACTTAAAGACAACACTTGACTTGATCAAAGTGACAAAGTCAAGATTCAGACTCAAGCCTGTCCCACCCCAGAAACCAAACTCGTAGCAGCTTATTGGTAATAAAAATGTGTCAGAATTTTCGTCGAAGCACTTTCATGAGTTTTATCTCACTTAAATTTCACAGTAGCCTTATGATATGGGCAAGCCAAATATTAGTATCTAGTACTGATACTCACAGATGAAGTAGCTGATATGCTAGGTGAGAGTTGCCCAAGTAGATGTAGCTGATAAGCTGTAGAGAGGTGTACATGGACCCTGTAGTTTATAATCCATTACTCTTTATGGCTCCTCTTAAAGCTTTTTTTTTTTTTTAAATATTCAAGGCTCTTAGAAGAACACACCAAACTTACTTGTTCTAAGATTACTTTTTTAGCAAGGTTTAATACTGATATCCTTTTGAGGTATTAGTTGTGCTTACAGAGGTCAGCACCAGCAAAAGAACGCTGGTCCTAGATTTTCTTGAGAAATATTGAGCCCTATGAAGATTTTAGCTTTTTAAGAAGTCTGTCTCAAAATAAATTAATTCTTAGAGACCTTCCCCTTATTTTTTAAAATTCTGATTCTAAATTCAGAGAGCAAAGGAATAGGAACTTAATTTTCAGTATTCTCATTTACCTGAAATATAAATGGCTGTCTGAGAGATAGCCAGAATACGTAAAGGTAATGTTTATAGATAATGATGTTAGGGTGGCAGTAATGGAGAATTCTTTAATGAATATCAAATACAGCCATCCAAGAGCTAAGAGACTCCATCTTTGATACTTGTTCCATGAAGGATCAAGACTCTTAGAGCAGTAACATTATTGAACAACACCATTTGAAAACCTTTGTTTTTGCAGGCAAGAAACTACATTCAGTCTCTGACCCAGATGCCGAAGATGAACTTTGCAAACGTATTTATTGGTGCCAACCCCTTGGGTGAGTTGACCATATCCTCATCTCATGGATATTGAATTGGTTATGAAATAAATGAGGGATTTGAAAAAGAGTTTTTCCTTTTGACTAAATAGGGTAACATTAATTAAATCTTGGAAGGTGGTAAATAATGTCATTTATTATCTGTGTTTATAAATTGCTTGTATTTTTTTTTAAATCATATGCTTATATATTTAAATGATCACAGAATTTAGTGGGAGAAACGATAATAGGAAAAGACTGAGGGAGACAGAAAGAAAGGTTTGGAGGAATGCCTGCAATTCATTCACAACCGCTGTCATTTTATGATGTCCCAGGCTGAGGGTAAAAACAACTGAAGCACAGGTGGGTGTGTAGAGGACCCACGCAGGAGCTCTCTGCAGTGTGCTTTGCTCTGCATGTAGCTTGCTGGTGCTCCTGACATCCTCATCCCTTCCCTCTTCTTCCTCTGTCCCTCAGAGACTTCACCATTCTCTCATCTTTGTGGAACTATTTTGCCACCTGAGACTTTAAGAAATGGCTCTTTATTTCCTCCTGCTACTCTCATCTCCAAGATCCTTGGCAAAGGGATAAGTGTGGCCTTGGCTGAAAAAAGGAGTTGCTTTATTCCTTAAAGCTGGGCCCAATATCTGCTTCATTTGGCCCTGAAAGTGGCATTGCCTGAGACTTTTGGTTTCCTGACTCTAGGATAGTGCCTTTGGATAGCAGACAGAAAAATCAAACCAGGAGCTCACTACAAGGCCCTCCAATAATAATTAACCTCAATTTCCTGAAAATTGTATTGTAGTGGTATGTGTTTAGACCTCACTGCATTTCTTTAAGTCTGTGTGAGCCAACCCTCTGTTGAAGGATCCTAGCAACTGTGCTTCAGGTTTAGTTTTATACTTTTGAGGACTGACAGCCATGAGGACCTCTTCAGAAGCTGGAGTGAAGGCTAAGTAGATTTGCTTTATTAAGTACTTCATTCATTGTGATTGTTGAGAGTGGTTTCACTGTTACTGTGATAATTCCTACAACAGCAGAGATACTCACACTCTCTGAAGTGTTGGGCAGTTATGGAAATGTTGATGTGAACTTGGGAGCTGGAGAGGATGTCATCTGAGTCATTCCCAAGTCCAAGAGTGAATCCACAGTCATCAGTGATAGTGATATATATATATAGCATTCTGTTGGGATTGGTTTAGGTTTGCACCTGCTCTCATATACTCTCATTGGCTTTGTATAATTTATTTGAACTGTATTATTATCTATTTCAAGGATCTATGAGAAGCTCTTTTTGAGTCATAACTACTCTAGGATGTTGGGAAATGATGTTGTGTGTCATTTCTTGTCTGTCATTTCTTTTCTGTCATTCAGTTCTGAATATTTTCATCATATCAGCTCATGTTGTTGTAGACATGGAAATTTTCACTATTTCACCTCCCGCTTGCCAACTCAAAGATATTTGTTAATTCATTTTTTTATGGGGTGGAGGGAATAGGTATGTATCCTAGAAACTTATTTAGGTCACATGCATCCTGATAGGTGTCCCATTCCCCTGAAGTCATGATGTTTAAACATTCAGAACTGGATACCACTTAGCAATATGCACTACAAGTGAGCTGAATGGAGGCTTTGGGCCATCTGGTGTTCAGCACTGCAGTTCACAGAATTTAAATGTTCCTGACAATCCACTGCCAAACCAGTGATGTCATACAGAGTCTCTTCTTGCAGCCAGAACATGGTGCTAATGACCTCGAGCTTGCACCCAGCATATTAACTGAGCAGGCTACACCAATGATATAAATATTGAAACAAGATTTTGTCAGTCACTGACTTCATGTTTTACCACTATTCCCAAAACATTGATTAAAACTTAAATTGCTCTTTAATATAGTATAATCTTAGAGGAGAGGAGTCTTTTCTTACCCATAATCAAGGTATTAGATATAAGAACACACTTTTTACCTTAGGGTGGCAAAAACTCATCATATAATCCAAACTATGCCTGGTAAGGTTTATTTTTCTGTGAAAAATAAATTTATAAAAATAAATGTAATTGATTTCCATAGTCACCCCAAACCCACATTTCTCCTTAAGTTTACTCTGGAATTCAGACTGAAGCACAGGGATCTTCTATAACCCCAAGTGTGCACAGCAGTAGATTTCTTCAGGAAACTGTCCTCCCCTTCAGTGCCCACTTCTGCCCCCTCCACATTTAAGGAACCATCAATAACTTACAAAGTCTCAAAGCCTTTCTGTTTATCAAAGGAGTAGCTGGGGTTATGGAAATATTTATTCTCCCAGGTGCCTTCTAACTTCTGGTTTTCAGAAATTACAAGGAATAGAGGGAAAAGGTACAGATACCTGATAAACACAAAAAGGCAATCAGACAAATTCCTAATGATGAGTTTTCTCAGGAAAACTGGAGGCTCTTTTCAGGTCAAAATCAGGGGAAAATAAAGATTAAGGGCAGGGAACTGGGATTATTCTAGATCAAGAGAGACTAAAGAAACCAAATCAAGTGCAATGCATGACCTTGTTGGATCCTGATTTGAACAAATGATAACAGTTTTATGATTATATAAGAAGATGTCATATTAACATATTTAGGAATAAAATGCCATATCTATAATTTTAAGTGATTTGGCAAAAATTATAGTCGGCTAGATAAAGAATATTAAATGTTGAAAACAGTGGTATGCATATATGTTCACTGTGCTGTTGTTATTTCACCGTGAAAATTTTTAAAATAAAATTCCCTTTTATCCACATATCACCCACATACCTATGTAAAACACTGATAATTGTTTGACAATTCATTGGCTGAATCGTTGCCTTATATTAGTAATAAACAGTGAAAGGCAAAAAAAAAACCAAAAAACCAAAAAACCCAAGAACCCAGCCCTTTTACCTCTTCTAAAATCACTGTAATTATAGGCTTTCATTTTGGTGGTAATTTGACTACAGTGGTAGCAGTTTGATGGTGACATTCTACAAAAACTTGTTCGAACAGAATCCAAGTTAATTTTATATTTTTTTCTTTATGATATATTCTTTAAAAACACACTTGTAAACATCCATAAAGGATCATTATAGAGCAGGCACTTTATCAAAGCAGTAACTATGGTCATGGAAATATTTATTCTCCCAATTGCTGTCTAACTTCTGGTTTTCAGAAATTCTTTAAATATGAAGTGTCAAAACTATGTGATTCCTTAAGATGCTTACGTTTTTGGTAATGTGTTAACTCTTCTTATTCTTTCCCATCTATGATACTGACAGCTGTCGACTTGCTGGAAAAGATGCTGGTATTGGACTCAGATAAGAGAATCACAGCAGCCCAAGCCCTTGCACATGCCTACTTTGCTCAGTACCACGATCCTGATGATGAACCAGTGGCTGATCCTTACGATCAGTCCTTTGAAAGCAGGGACCTCCTTATAGATGAATGGAAAAGTAAGTCACGAGGACAGGATTAACATCTAGCTTGTGAAAGATTTTAGAATCTTACCTACTTAGAACTGGGGCAAAAGAGGGTTTATAGCTTTCTGTTACCACTAGCCTAAAACTGTGGGAAAAATAAAAATTTCTGAGTAGTTATCACCAACTTGCTGAGACTTGTAACTAGGGTCTCTAATGCAGAATGAGTATGTTCCTGTCATGGAAACTGTCTGCTGGAGATGGTGACACCCTGGGCCTCTGAGACACTTTTGTCTGGTCTGACGTTGTACACAGCCTCCCCGCCTGCATAGAGCTTTGAGGTTCTTAGAGTCCGTGAAATTACAGTACCTCTCTGAGCTAAGTAGGGTGTAGTATCTTTATAGTTTTACAGTTGGTCAAATTGGGACAAAAGAAGACTTGTAGCTTATCTGGTTCCTTAGACCTAGTTAGGGACATATCCAAAATGGAACCCAACTCTGTTATTCTTGAGCACCCTCTCCAGAGAACATTAAAGAGGAAGTACTCAGTGATGAAAGAAACAAGAAAAAGTGGGTTTTTTTTTTTTTTTGTCCATATCTTTGAACCTCATATTCCTTTAGGATATCACACATAAGCAACGAAACGGTTACTTGAAATAGCCCATCAAGCCTCTCGCCTGGACGGGGAGGAGGGATCCTGAGCTTAGAAGGTAGAGCGCTTGCCTGCAAAGAGGATAGTCTCACACCCTATTTTTCCTTCCCAATTTCTAGGCCTGACCTACGATGAAGTCATCAGCTTTGTGCCACCACCCCTTGACCAAGAAGAGATGGAGTCCTGAGCACCTGATTTCTGTTCTGTTGATCCCACTTCACTGTGAGGGGAAAGCCTTTTCATGGGAACTCTCCAAATATCATTCAAGTGCCTCTTGATGCAGAGATTTCCTCCTTGGTGGAAGGGGTGTGTGTGTGTGTGTGTGTGTGCGCGCGCGCGTGCGTGCGTGCGTGTATGTGCGCGCATGTGTGTGTGCATGTGTGTGTGCGTAAATACGCACACGTGTGCATGTGTGTTTGTGTGTGTGCATGTGTATACCTGTCTTTGTGGGGTGGGGGGTAAGAGAATATGAGCAAACTATGATCACAGTGACTTTACATGGAGTTGCCACTGCCCCGTGGCAGCCTCCGCTTGCTCTTCTTCGTGAGTCAGCTCAGGCACACAGAGCTGCCATCTTCTTGGGGATATGTCAAATACAAAGTAAAAAATATTAAACATCCCAAATCCCAGTCATGCTTTTGCCATTTTGGCGTCTCCCTGTGGCCCCACCGTGATGGTGGGGTTAGAAGACTGCCTCCCACAGTGGCGCAAAGAAGGCTCACTGCTGGCTTCTTCAGATCTGACGCACCCTTCAGCACAGCGAAAGGCCCAGCTGGCTGTGTGCGCTAGTCTACAAGAGTCTCAGAACTCAACAGGTGTATATGAAACTGTAAATATGTTTGTGCCTTAAAAGGAGAGAAGAAAGTGTAGTCAGTTAGGAGAGTGCAGCAGATGAAATTCTGAGCCAACGTTGTCAGACGGCCACTTAAGTAACCAGGGAGCCTTCCAGAGGCGCCATGTGTGCACGTGTGAGCATGCGTGTTCTCTCTTTCCCTCTCCCCCCAGATGTTGTTGCCATTTCTCTGCTTACCCCTCACCTCCAGTGCAGAGGTTTCTTGAGTATTGGCCCCAGTAGTCAGAAGCCGGCTCTTGCTGTCAGTGTCCTTCCTGTGTGCTCTTTATTCCTAGCAGAGTGACAGTGTATTTGCACGTCTTGCTATTTGAGCATGCCCAGCTGCTTGTCCTGTCCTCCTCGGGAGGCCCTAGTGCCAGGCAAGTTTGCCAGCGAAGACTTCTTGGGTAGTTCAGAACCCACGTCACCCCGGCTGCTGCTGTGGGCAGGCGACATCATTCTCTTCAGCCCCCAGTGCTATTTGTGTTGTACACAATTGATACTCCAGGTGCTTTTGATGTGAAAACTATGAAGAAATGAAACAGATGGATGTATAGTGTTTTCATTCTTGCCATCTGGTTTTCAACAAGCTATTTTCGGGAAGTTATCGTGGGAAAGATCAGGGCTTTTCCCAGGAATATCTCAAACTTTGGAAAGGAAGTTACTCTCTTCACTCCCAATAAGCGATGCTAAGAAATGCTGAAAATCAAAGTGAAAAATAAAACTCATGAGGCCAGAAACTCCTTTTGCAATCTTTGTTTAAATATGGTTTTAAAAAAAAAAAAAAAAGCAACAAGTTTTCTTTTCCACCCCTCTCTGGAAAAGGGTCTTCTTGGCAGCTTCATATTGACTTCTTGGTTTGGGGAGAAATAAATTTTATTTCAGAATTTTGTATACTGCAGGAATCTTTTGAGAATGTGATTCCTTTTGATGGGGAGAAAGGGCAAATTATTTTAATATTTTGTATTTTCAACTTTATAAAGATGAAATATCCTCAGGGGTGGAAAAGAGTTGTTTTCATAATTTTCTGAATTTTAGGCATCTTATCCGACATAAGGGCCCATATTTAAAACTTTTGTGAAAGTATGAAGCCACTTCCGTTTTGGCTGTGAGACGAAGTCTTGTGTTTGGGCCCAGATGTTTCCATTTCTCTGTCACAGCTCAGTGACACGTGCACTCCAGAGGGACAGGGGAGGACCCCTGAGTCCCCTGGAGCAGGAAGGCAGGAGGCAGGCTTCCTGGTGATCACACCTCACCTGGGGTGCTCCCCCTTTTTAAAGGAAAACGAACGCAAAGGCCTCATCTCCTTTATATGCAGTTCAAATCCTCACAACCCACAGCAGGATGAATTTTATCAGCCGTGTTTGGTTGTAAATGCTAGTGTGATTTCCTATAGAAATACTGCTCTGAATATTTTTTAATAAAGGTCTTTGCACATGTGACCACATACGTGTTAGGAGGCTGCATGCTCCAGGAGCCTGGACTCAGCTGGAGCCTGTGGAAGAGCTCCTGGGTTTCTGAGCATTGTACTCCCGTCTCCTGATTTCTCCTAATTTCTCTGATGAGAAAACAAAAGAGAGAATGAGGGAAACTGCTATTTTATTTGTATTCATGAACTTGGCTGTAATCGGTTATGCCATATAGGATGTCATACAATACCACTGGTTCAAATAAAGCCTATTTTTCAAATTTAGTGAGTTTCTCAAATTTATTTTATTTTTCTTGTATTCGTGTGTAGGTAATGCACACTGTGGCATTGTATCCGTGTTCTTTCAGCAGTGTTCTTTCAGCTGTGGCCTGGCATACATTCTACCTGGCATACATAATCTACCTTGATAGCCAAGACCAGATCAGCATGGGGTGACCTGGCCAGCTCTGACTGCTGCTCTGGGGTGTCAGAGTAGCCTAGAACAGGGGTCAGCACATTGGCCAACAGCCAAATCCAGTTTATCACCTGTTTTTGTGTTTAGCTGACTAAACATGATTTTTACATTTTTAAATAGTTGAAATGAAAGAACAATATTTTTGTAGCATGTGAAAAATAATGTAAATTTCAAATTGAAGTGTCCGTAAATAAATATCACACCCGCACATCTCTTTGCCTTTGCCTGCTTTTTGCACTACAGTGATAGGGTTGAATAGTTGAGACAGAGACCATCTGGCCTACAAAGTCTAAACTTGATAGAAGTTTGCAGGTGGCTGGCCCAGGACTTCACTCTCCTCCTGTGTAAAGTGAAGTTTGTTTAAATAGGTGTTTTGTTCTTTTCAGCTTTGACATTCTAAGTGTATCTATAGAAAGTATATTTTTATTTTAAAATTGCCAGAGAGAAAGGTTAGATGGGCACATTGTTTATAGACATTTAAGCAAAGTATTGTATGACTCTTTTTGTCTATGGCTCTTGACAATAGTCTCCAAACTACTGAATTGCATCAAAGGACCATGAGATCTCACAGCTGAGTTTTCAGGGCCTGTGTTGGCGTGTTTCCTTTCTCGGTGGCCTAGGAATGCCGACAGGTTTCCTGGGGCAGATTGTGAGCCCCAGCCTGTGAGGATATAGAGGGCTTGCAGCTGGGGTTTTTGTCTTGTTCTGTGAGCTGGTTTTTGGCTGGTAGCTGGAAGGGACGGCATTGGTAGAAGGCGAACTAAGCATGGGCTTTTTTCATCCTTCCTCAGTGACTTCTTAAGGGGGTAAACAGAAAAGGGACCCATGTGCCACATGATACATCAGCTTCTGGAAGGATTCGATAATTGTAGGAAATATTTTGCCTTTGCATACCAGACATGAGTGCTGGGACATAAGAAAGTGCAAATGCCAGGCTTCTGAGAATGGAGGGGCTGTTCAGCTACTGGAGAGGGATTAACACCAAAAAAAAAAAAAAAAAAACTCACCTAAAGTGAATCCACTTAAGATGGGGACCAAAGTGTCACAGTCTGTGGTAGGATTGGGGGAGTCTAATTGGGACTTTTATCACGAAAACTGAACAAATGACTTTTTTTTAAGATTATTTATGCATACAAGAACTGGGGTGCAGGTCAGAGATACAGGGGGTGAGAGGATTGACCAGAGACAGAATGTGGAGCAGAACAGGCAGATCTACTGAAATACACTGCTGAGGGGAGCAGCAGGCGAGACAGGAGAGGTCTGCTATGCCTTGTGGGTTAGTTCCTCGCTGGGGATTGAACTCAGGTCACAGTGGCTGCCGATAGCTTCATAGAGCTGAGACTTAAACCCTTGTGCCACCAAGGGGGCCCTAAAAACCTTAAAAAACATTTTTATAATTTCAAATGTATTTTTCATGAAGAATGAGTCAAGTGTTTGCTTTTTCAAGTGAAACCATGGTTTAGTATTTTACAATGTCCTTCCCATTTGATTACTCAGCATAATCATAGAGGGAATTGTTGCCAAGGGTTTGAGGTCTTCCTCAGTTCTCTTAAGGACCTCCATCTTAATATTCACATTTTTAAAATTAATATAAGGTGATAAGGGTCACCTTATCACCATTCCCTTTACTGTCTAGTCTGAGTGCCAAATCCACATTATTCAGTGGCTTGAGATTTGAGTAGTTTTCTAGCATTGGTGAAGTTCATCACATCTGCCATCTTTTGCAAATTTGCAGTGATTTCAATTACTCAGCATTGTATTTGTGTCATATGCTTATAATGTGATTAGAGACTAACCCAAGACTAGACCACAGTGGGTACAAGAGACATTCTAAGTTCTGATACTTACGAAGCCAGGAGGGACAAGTTTTATCAGTAGTCTCTTCACCAGTGAATGTTTTCCTGTGCCAACTTTCACTTCTGTATACAATCTGATAGCTGCAAGACCTAGCTAACAGGCAAATGATAAAGACCCTTTTCATTTACAATATAGATGTATTTTAATATAGATACCATTTGAACTTAGCATTTACACTTCTCAACTTACAGACCTCACAAGTACACAAACCAAAAAGTTTAAGGTTATTCAATGTCATGTTCTTTGTATAAGCAAAACATTGGAAGTAACCCACATATCTATCAATAAGGACTTGATTGAATAAGGTCATTTGCTCCACGGAATGCAGTACAGCTAGGTATGGACACATGTGCAGTATATATTATGAGAGAAAAACCAAGTGGCAAACTGTAGTATACCCTTCCCCTTTCTTAACTGATTGATAGTATTTGGCTATGAAAAACCTAGAGGAATACACATCAAACTCTTACAACCTCCTCTAGGGTAATGGATTATATATAGGAGGCTCTAACTCTGTGCAATTTCTATTATGTTGCTTTCTTTTTACATAGTGATTTCTTCTGTAATCAGAAAATTTTAAAAATTTTTGATAAGAAGGATTTTCAAAGTCTGTGGCCTGGAGAACCATTCTCAATTTCAGCTTTGCCAGTGCCCAAAGGCAATTTTCAAGACAGAACACTTGCTAGAAAGGGGTT